TACATCAAAATGTCACTGTAGAAATTAACTATGCCCTTTTTATTTAAGATACTTATTATTCCTTTCACTTAAATTTCTGAAAGAATGAAGCCAGAAGATAATTCCCTTAGAAGAGGTTTTCTGTTTCAGCAGTTTGTCATCTTCTAAAATTGAAAAATTGCTTTTCTGTAGTGAGAACCTTACCTGAAACTGGCACTTGGTATCTTAACAGATCAGTGTAAAGCAAGAAATTACCTTTACTGATGCATCTGAACAACAGAAACGAGACAAAAAACAAATACGAGAGCCAGTAGATTTGCAGAAAAAGAAGAAAAGAAAACAGCGTTCACCAGCAAAAGTAAGACATTGATTTGGCAAAACCAAGATTAAAAGAACCTGAAGATTTGGTTGACTATGACTAATTTCATTAGCATTTGAAGTAGTTAGGCTGGAAATTGTTTGTTTGCTCAGTAAAGATGCAGTTCTGAAGTTCACCAGAGACCCAAAACAAAACCTGATATAACAGTGTTTTTCTTTGAACTCTTTTTAGCAACATGAACCCTTGACATATTTTAACATCTGTCTCTCCAGGCAGTTCTCTCTCCAAATTTTTTTTTTTTTAAATTATGAGTCAGTAGCTTTGTAGACAATTTATAAATCATTACTCTGTATCTATCTAATAATAGTTGTGCTTTTCTGTGAGCCTGATAATTTTATATGCTTCATGCATAGTAGTGAAAAGTTTTTAAAAAGAAATCTAAAATGGTAGTTTTGAAAATTCTAAAAAGTTTACTAATATATATAAAATAATTTACTGGCAGGGAATATTCCTGTGGTCATAATCATCTTCATATATGTATTTATTTATATCAAAAGATTCTTACCATAGCTGCTGGTTTGTTACTTCAAAATTTGTTTTGTAGATCCATTCATGAAGAGTATGTATCCCTGTATGTCTGAAAACAATTTTCTTCTATTGAGACGCACTTCAGATAAAACCAAAATCATTTCACCTCATGAGGTAGCAGTGTTCTATCTAGTATTAATCTTCAGACTTAAAATAGACCGTATACAGGCTGCTCTGATAGGCAAAAATCAGTTATAAATTATCACACAGCAGCATTAAAATAAGCCTACTCTGAAGTCAACCCAGACTGTGTATACGTTGAAGGAAAGCTCACCCTAACACCAAGAAAAACTCCAGACCCTTCTTTTTGTTGGCCTGGGAGCGGGACCCCTCAGTCCTCCTCAAAGCACTGTCAAATTAGGTTGCACCTGTAGTATTCTTGGAAAGTTGAGCAATTGTTTCAGATTGGGTGTGGAAGCAAGTTCCAAATCCAGTGCATCAAGATACTTCTCCCTTTGATAGCAAAAGGAGAGCTAGGTTGAGTCCACAGATCACTTCCATGGAAACATGGCAAGGTCGAAGAGGCATGTGTCCCTCTTTCTACAGACATGTACTTGCATGCTTCCTTTTTATCTCCCAATCTGTCAGTGTTAGTCTTTCAAGATGACAAAAGATTGAAAAATGATCAGGAGAATTGTTAAACAGGTTCTTTTACGGTCTCTCGTCCCCTTTTTTCAAACTTGTCAGAGTAGAAAGGCAGAAAGAAGCTGAAGGGAAGGACTGGCATAGGTGAGAGCCTACTGCAGTTAAGGTAGTGTTCCCAGAGTAATGGGGTTGATCTTCCATCCAAACAGCAGCTGGGACTTTTACATATGGAAGTCAGTTAAATGAAACATTTTAAATTTTATTTTATGTTAACGTAGTCATCATATAAATAAAAAGCCATTAGCTTTTATGAATCCTGTCTACTTTTCCCTCTTCCATGCACACAAACACATGTGCACACACGTACACACACGCACGCACACACACACACATGCACAAGCTTTTTTGTTGCTTCTATCAGGAAAACTGCACTGACAAAGTTAACTTTCTTCATTTAAGACATGGTACAATGAATAGATGCAATAGAAGAGCCCAAGTTTAGGATAACCATGAAATTCAGCGTATTTTCTGCACAGTTATTTTAAAATTTCAATCTAATATATGAAAAGCATTTCATAACATGTGTTTAAATTTATTTTAAATAACCAGTCAGTGTTTCATTAGCTGTATGTTGTTACAGAACAGAATCTTTATATTTGTCTCTATCTGTGACTCACTGGAGCTGTAACATACCGATCTTAGAAACGTATGAATGTGCTTGTCCTTCAGAGTGAATGCACAAGAATTTGTTAGCTCAAGACTTTCACTCTTGCTGAGTTTTGATGCAGCAGAATTAAAAATTGTTTAAGTAGATCCTACAGTATTTGCTACTATTGCAGAGGTACTATTTCAGTTATTGACTCTCTTTCTCATCACTGTCATTATCATAAAACCTAAAACATCGTAGCTAATCAAATTGCAGATGTGTTTCCCCAGCAGACTTATTTTTTGTTAATAACAAGGGACTAAACTGTTTTATTTAAGGTTACTTAAGCTCTTCTTTATAGTTCTGTTTCCAGTTAAGTAAGACTTTTGGAAATGTAATTTGTTTACTGGTTTTCTTATTCTCTTGCCAGAGATAGTAGAAGTTTGGGGTTTGTTTTGTTTTGTTTTGTTTTTATTTTTAACAAATTAGAGAAAACCTGTGATGAGCTATATTGAATAAGATAGATATGGTGCAATTTTTTTAACTTAAGTTTTTTCGATTTTATGTGAAAATAGCGGCTTTGACGGCAGAGCAATTGAGTGTGGCAAGTTGAATTCATAAAGGAGATGCTTTAATATATCTATATTGAGTGAATGATACTTTATTGAGTGAAAAACCTGAAAGAGGAAAAGAATAAGACTATTTTCTTGGTTGTTTGGCTTTGAGGTTTTGGTTTTTAAAATACAATTTTGCCTCTGAGACTATTGGTGTTATGTAGATGTAGATAATTTGTGTGAGTATCCTGGATAAGTTTTAATGCCTTTTAGCAAACATTTACAGTTGTGATTTGAAAAAAGAATATAACTTTTAATTTTTACTTTAAAATATGATTATCCATGGTTGAGTGCCCAGAGGTGGTTGGGTTACTTTGTGTCCTTTGCAACAGACGGACAAAGCAAACAGTAGCATATAAAGGGACTCAGCTGTGAATAGGGGAGCTCTAAGCTGATTTTCTGTGAGCTGCTTTTGTCTCCGTCCTGTTGAAACATCTCTTAATACACAACGAGGCACAAGGTGGATTGGACTGCAATTGGAAATGTATACTAAAAGCCTAACACGTAGCTTTGTAGAAATTAGCATTGTTGTACCTGAAATATTTACATTTTCTGCATCGAAAAAATTAATGTTTTTTTTTTTTAATTTAGTTAATAAGACATCTTTAGAGGGTAGTGTGAGAACAAATTTTACTCTTTTTAAAATAGATCCTTACAATAAATGAGGATGGATCACTTGGTCTGAAAACCCACAAATCTCATGTTTGTGAGCATTGCAATGCTGCCTTTAGAACCAACTACCATTTACAGAGACATGTCTTCATTCATACAGGTACTGCTTGACTTCAAATTTGTCTTTTCTACTATATAAAGAGTTGTTTACTTATGTTAAAAATGTTTTCAGCTCTATGCGAATTTCAGTTTTAAGAGTGTAGCTAACTTGGCATCTAAGCTTAGAGATTCCATGCACCAAAGTGTCAAAAGAATACCGGGAAAAAAAAGTCAACATATGTTTAATAAACTGAAGACCTAACTGTTTACAAGGTTTCTTTTCTTTCTTTATCAGAAAGTAATGGGTTGACTTGTAGCCTAAGTGCCAAAATTGACCCCTTTGTAAAATGTGCTCCGGCTGCTTATTTGCCTGATGAGGTATCTCTCTGGTTCGGAGAAGTGAAAAAGGTACTTACCATTATAATAGCTTGCCAGTATCCTGAATGCAGTCTTATGCCAGCATCGTGATTGATCTTGTTCGTGAGGAAATTACAGCCATTTCAGATCATCTTCCGTACTAGTCTTAATGTGACTCTTAGGATCATGGAAAGAATTCTGCAGCTCATATACTTAGTAAGGCTAATGTTTTTTGGTATTAGAGTATTTTTGGAATTCGCTCAGATGCTGGTTTTTTAATAGACATTTTAATATTCCTCAAAAGTAGTTATCAGAAACAACAGTGTGTAGTTATTAACTTATGGATGTGGAATTATATTGTTCAAGGTGAAAAACCATTTCAGTGCAGTCAGTGCGACATGCGTTTCATACAGAAGTACCTGCTACAGAGGCATGAGAAGATTCATACTGGTGAGTATAGTGCCTTGAGTATCTTTACTGGCGTGCTTAAAAACTGTTTCCCCACTCAGGCAAGGTTTCCGGTACTAAGTATGCAGCCTAAAACCCTGTTGTAGTTTGTTTTAACTTAACAGATGTTACAAAACTTTTAAAAATAAATTAGTTTTGGGCTTTCAACTTGCTCCACTTTTCTTTGGCTGTAAAGTGAGTACAGACTCTAGTAAGCAAATCTGAAAGTAGTATTCTATAAATAACCCCAGAGCAACAAATCCTGAAGTTTGTGCGTTCATAAAAGTCAAGGGTTGTTAAGCAGTTCTGTCTTTTGTTGTGTCAAGTTAATGCAGACAACGGGGACTTCCAAATTACATTTCAGTAGATTTATTTATTAATTTGTTTGTTTGTTTATTTATTTATTTATCTATTTCGGAATTTGATGGAAAAGTGCCAGGACTAAAATGGCCAAAATGCCTAACCCCAAAGGTATTGGTATCAGCTTTACTTTTCACTTTTTTTTTTTTTTCCTGAAAGGTTTAATTCAGAGCTGTTCTAAAAATAAGAACCTTAGTTTAAAAATACACAATATAGGTCAAATAAGGCCCGAAGTTTTAAGCTAGAGAGTGTTAAAGTTTATTCATGTTTGGTTTTTTATCTTCTTGCACCGCACAAAACCACATTCTTTAACAGGTTTGGCTTCATTGGGTTTTTGGCATTTTGGTGCATGGCCTTTCAATCCCTCTTTAAATATTTTGTAATATGGTCCCTTTGGACTAGATGCCAATTTCTCAGCCTCTTTTTCAGAAAAGCAGAGCTGGTGAATGTGCACAGTGTTTCTTGGCTGTAGCATTTAAATGGATATGAAAGCTACTAACATGCAGTACAGTGTGTGCATGTGTTAGAGTGGAGAGGGAGAAAAAACTCTGCAAAATGAATTTTCAGAGCAGCGTACAGGGAGTTACATGCACAAATGCCCTGTTGTTTATGGGATTTTTGTATCCTAGGTTGCCATGAGTCCAGACTAAGTAGGTTTCCTTCAGCCAGTCAGCCACAGAAGAGTCCTCCATTCTTCTGTCCAGTGTCTTTGTTCTGCTCCTAGTCTTTCCTCTGGCTTTGAATTGGTGAACCATGCTGCCTCCACTTTGTGTAGATACTATTCTTGAAAAGAATGCTCATTCACTCTCTTCCATCTATCTGCCTACACCCCCACACCCCCCCAAAAAAGGCAAAAAATTAAGTTCAGTCTTCACATTTTTCAGAAGGTTTTTTTTTAGGTTTTGTTTGCTTTTATTTTTTCTTTTTTAATGAGGATTATTCCCTGTACGTGGCTTTGAAAATGAGAGTCTGGGCAATATAGTTAATTAACACTTGACTGCAAAAATTTTATAAATGGATTTAATTATATTTTTAAATTTAGCTTCTAGCTCTACTGAGAATTCTGTCGATTGTAAGCTGTGGAGGGAGGGTGTGGTGGTGGGGTAGCAGGTTTTTTTTGCCAGCCCTTACATATACTAGCCTTTGTTTAGCAGAGAAAAAGGTGCCATTTTACAAAATTAACCATATTGTTATCTGACTTTTTTGGATAACTATGTTTTCCTCCTTTCCTCAGCATCCTGAGGAACTGTCCAACCATAGTTTGGTTGTTTCTCAGAAAATGGAAGATGGTGCTTGTGTTTAAATTGTTGAATTATGGGTGATTTCCTAGGTGACAACTAGTAGATGGTTAGGACAGAACATGTAAAACCCAGCTTCCAGGAGTGGAAAAAGCTTTTTTGAAGTCCATTTAGTTAGCAAGTATTTGACTAGTGCTTAATTTTTGGCTCGGCTCGGTTATAGTATAGCTAATTGGCATTCTACATACCTGTCTGTGCTTTCACTTCTGTCTGACAGTATTCACTACTGGGCCTTAGTTGTTTCTGTAGGGTTACTCTGTTGTTCAGGACTGCATAACTGAACCCATCCACTGCATAACTGAACCCATCCAGTAAAGCTGAATTTTCAGCTTCCTTCTCTCACCAGAAGGTGAGTAGTGGGTCTGTGGTTCACTTTGAAGGAAGTAAAGGAAGGCTCTCTCCGTATTATTCATACTCTTTTTAAGAAATATTCCTTATAAATTCAATACTATATTTTTTCTTTTTATTTTGCATTTTTATCTCTCTGAATGACCACTTTTAGCACCAGCTTTTGTGCAGTGTTCAAAATACTGATGAAGAACAGGATGTTGCTTACTGTTTTTAAAGATGTTTATAAAATTTTCCAGTTTATTTTAAGCCAGTCGAAGACAGTGGTAACACTTAGAAGCCCCATTTTATGCCTGTAACAAGCCCTGAATTTACAGGTGCTCCAGCTAGTTCCGGTGGGATTTAAATTCGGTTCTCTGAACCATTCCTTCAAGTGAAATGTTATGAGGGAGTTAGGAAGGAATCAATGAACAGCCTTATTCTGTGTAAATAATTAAATAGTTGCATCTAAAAGCAGACATTGCATTAATACAAAATTCGCTTACTAGAAATAATTGTGTATAGAGGAGAGCAGTAGTGCTAGAACCCTGCTGCTAAACGTGTCTCTAATGACACAGAAAATCGCCATTTCAGTTGTAAGAGAGGGAAAAGTCATTGGTACACAAATATTTTCATATTTTGGGTTTACTAGGCTCACAAGAGATGCTGAATGTTTGTTTTTCTTTTCAAATGTCTGCTTTCTTTTAGCTTAGAGATGTTTCTATACACCTTGCCCACTCCTGCATTCCTGTGTCCTAATTCTGTAACCCACCCTACTTTCCATTTTAAACACAAAAACTGAGATTACATTTTTAAAAAAATAAAGCAACATTGGGGCTAACAACTCAAGCGCCTCATTATTCAGTCATGCCGCTTTTTTTATTGCCACCTTTGGTATTCTATAATTTGTATTTTGCTTGGTTTTTAAGATGCCTGGGGGTTTATAATTGTTACAGCCTTTATACACATAGTATTTGTACTACACTTTATAAATAGTTCTATTGCTCAGTTTTAATAGATTTCTAATGTAGACACAAAACAGGCTGTTTTCGTAAATAATGCATATAATTATTGTGTTGTATTTTTAAATTCTGACTTTTTTTTTCCTACCTCTGATTCTTTCCCACTCACCAAGACGTTTCAGAAAAATACGTCCTGGATTCTCCCTACATTAGCAAAAGGTTGTTATTAATGATCTTCTGCATTTGCGACAGATCCTGTTTGAAAAGTACAACAAAATTGCAGAAGGCATCTGAAGTTTCAGGCTTCTGCTAGGAAGTAATTATTATAGGAAGCATATCTTCATATTCGTTTTTAATCTTTTTTTAACATTATCTTCCTTATGAAGATTAAAGCAAAAATTAAGTATGGTATCAGTTTCACAAAGTGTATCTTAATCTTACTTCCAGAGTGTCCTGGAATTCTACTGAGAAGTATAATTTTCTGTGTTGTGCTGAGTAATTCAAGGGCAGCGTCCCTAAACTTTTCTTCCTGTTGAGGCATGGCCAGCAGTGCCTTTGTATGTACTCTCAAAGTCTCAAAAATGGCTGCTGGTGGTAATACCTTACAACAAAAAACCTCAGAACCCCTGTTTGGCCCTATTTAAGGCTTGAAATGGGAATAGATAGCTGGGAGGGTCTTCTGCCAACAAGTAGCCAGCTTCAGTAGACAAATGTTGAGGAACTCTGTGACTGTTCTTTTACAGACACGGGTATAAGGCTGAAGGTAAGTGTATTCATGGAGTGTTCGGCATTTCCTAGGCAGCAGGATAGCTCCTTAGAGGGCTGTTCAAAGCTAGAACAAGACTGAGCTGTCTTGCTCCTCTGGCTTGGTTTGGCTTCTGTAAAGCTCAGGATAGTTTTCATCCCAAACAGCTGCTCCTTTCTCTAAAAAAAACTCTAAGGTAGCGTGAAACCAAACTTCCAGACAACATAAGGAGAGTTGTTTGAAGGGGTGATTTAAAGGAAACACAAAGTAGAATAGTGGAGCAAAGGGAAAGAAAACAGTAAGTAACAAGGTTTAAGTAGTTGTCTTTGGGAAAAGAGGAGTTCCTGTGTATTAAACAAGAGCAATCAGACCTAAACATCTTGCCTCTTCTTTATAAGTGAAGACAAGGACTGGAATTTGATACAGAAAGTCTCAACAGGGTCGGTGCAAGTAAACCAGCATAGTAGTAAGGGTGCCTAGCGAATAAAGAGAACAGGAAGAATGAAAGTGGAGTTTGAAAGTTAAGAAATAGGCCAGAGAGGAGGATTTGCTTATAGACAGTGTGAGAGAGGATTATATGATAGGCATTACAATTTATAAAGGGTGCTGAAAAAAGCCCAAATTTGATGGTGATTATTAATAAGCAAGAAATGGTAAAAGTTAATCTCTGACTAAATGTGAAAGAAGAGTTAGGATGTTGAGGTTGTGAGCCTGTAGAAAAAGAACTGATAGAAGCTGAGAGATTTTAGGAGAGGAGATGGTTTGATTTAGGAAAGAACAAATTGGAATAATTTCATCCGAGAAAGGGATTGTCTGAGAAACCATATGGAGAGGTAAGAATTGATAATTAGAAATAGAGCATAGGCTTACAAAGAGAGAAGTTTAGAAATTGCTTGGAATTAAGAAGTTTGGAAGTCTGGGTATTAATGATCTAACTAGGAGCAAATGTGTGGGTGATAGAGATATTTTCCATTCTACTTTCTATACATACTGGCATCTTATTTTAAGGTACTGTATTTCCATTTGTAGAAGGATATGGATAAATAACTCTGTTCTAAATAGAAAATATACAGTTTAACAGCATTTTAAATAATAAAATAAAAATTATTAACGCTTTAATAAGTAATTATTAGTAATAATTTAGTAAAACTAGTTCATAAAACAATTTTTAAGAATAAAACTACCTCAGAAAACTAGAAATACACTGCATATTTCTGGAAACAAAATATAGATGGTTTATATCCCCAAAATCAGTGCAATACAGTATCCAGAACAAAGAGGATGTGGACAGATGCTGCCAAGACAATCCCTGATCTCTATGTCAGTTCAAAAGATGTCCTAGTAAATATTAAGAGGAGAGATTACTGTTGCTCAGGGTGAGTTCTATTAAATAATAGTGAACTTTGTAAAAGCAAAACTAACTTTTCAATGTGCTTGGAATTTTTAAGTTTTGCCAGAGGAACCTAGAAAATAAAAATGTCAGAGGGAAGATGTAAGGCAAAAGTTAAAAGAAATAGAAATAGAGTTACTCTGTGTTCAGAAAGAATCATTGCAGGGCTTCTTTGTGAGGGAAAATGAGGGGAGAACTGAAGATCAGTTCAGGGCAATGAATATGGTCTGAACAAATATTTCATGAAAGTAAAAAACAAAACCCAAAACCAAACAAAACAACCAAACAGAAAAACCTGTAAGCATGCAAATGCCAATTCGGCTTCAGAGGTTTCTTGTTTTCAGCTTGATTTTTTAAATAAAATATTTTAATTTTTTTTTTTTAATTGCATTCCAACCCAAATAGTAGGGTTTTTTTCAGAGCAGTTGTTTCAATTCTGCATGTTCGGCTTCAGAGGTTTCTTGTTTTCAGCTTAATTTTTTAAATAAAATATTTAAAATTTTTTTTTTAATTGCGTTCCAACCCAAATAGTAGGTTTTTTTTCAGAGCAGTTGTTTCAATTCTGCATACAGATAAGGGGAAAAAAAAAAAGGAAAGTACAGAGCACCCTACAAAAGTGTTGAATCAAAAGCTTGGAAATGCGTAATTCTCTTCTAGAGGGAATAGGTTTGAGTTAATGACTTGGTGAGAGAATTGAGGTATTTTTATACAATCATCTGCCCTAAAAATTACGTAGCAGCAGTTCAGGAAGTCTGTCTTTGCAGTTTATTTGTTGGGTGTAAGACAGGTATCTGCACCTACATTAGAAAGAGAGGGTAAGAATTTAGTTTTAAAGGTGGTTGGGGTTTTTTTAGTGTAAAAGCTTCAAATAGTTTTGAGGCATCAGCTACTGAGTACTGAGAAAATAGTGATGGAGCAAGCCCGATGCTGTTTTTCAATAGCAAGAAACTAAATCCTCTTCTTTATTACTTCTAATAGAGAATGTAGTGTTTGACCTGGTACTTGTATGGAAGAATACTGATTGATTTATTTTTTTTAAATTAACATTGCTATGTGTTTTTTATCAGGTGAAAAGCCATTTCGTTGTGATGAATGTGGTATGAGGTTTATTCAGAAGTATCACATGGAAAGGCACAAAAGAACTCACAGTGGAGAGAAGCCTTACCAGTGTGAATATTGTTTGCAGGTAAGATGACTTAGTGACATCTTTCACAATTGAAAAACGAAACACCAGTCAATTCCCAAGTAGCACAGACAGGACTTTCCGCAGGTGTTGTAGTCACGTGCATACAAATGAGCCTGTAACGAATGTTTTTTCTGTTGGGGTGGGTGGTCTTGGTGCACGGGAGGAGCAGTCACAGCTGCCTGTGCTTGATTTTGTTGATGGTATGCTGTTGTTTGACACTTTGTTAGAAATAGGCAGTGGATGAGTTGTCAAGTGAATTTGTTAGAATGGAAGGCTACTTTTCTTTCTGCAGATATATTTATGTTTTAACAATAGCAATAATAATGATAATAATAAATCTTTTGCAGTATTTCTCCAGGACTGATCGTGTGCTGAAACATAAACGCATGTGCCATGAGAACCGCGACAAGAAACCGAACAGAAGTGCCACCAAAGTTGGCTTTTTGCCATCAGAAGACGACTCTGGTTTCTCTGCACCTATGAAAGACAGCTCCTTGCCAAAGAAGAAAAGGCAGAAAACAGAGAAAACAAAATCTGGGGATAAGGAAAGTACAGATAAATCAGAACAGAAGAAGGACAAAAATGACTATTTGCCTTTGTACTCTTCTAGTACTAAAGTAAAAGATGAATACATGGTCGCGGAATACGCTGTTGAGATGCCGCATTCTTCGGTCAGTGGAACGCACTTAGAAGAAGCAAATTCTGGAGAAATACACCCACCTAAGCTCGTTCTCAAGAAAGTGAACAGCAAGAGGAGTCTGAAACAGCCACTTGAGCAAAGTCAAACCATTTCACCTTTATCTACATATGAAGACAGCAAGGTTTCAAAGTATGCCTTTGATCTTGTGGATAAGCAAAGTTTACTGGACTCTGAAGGTAATGCCGACATTGATCAAGTTGACACATTACAGGAAGGGCCCAGTAAACCTGTACACAGCAGCACTAATTATGATGATGCAATGCAGTTTTTAAAGAAAAAGAGGTATCTACAAGCAGCTAGTAATAACAGTAGAGAATATGCCTTGAATGTAAGTACCATAGCATCTCAACCTTCGGTAACGCAGGCAGCTGTGGCGAGCGTCATTGATGAAACCGCTACAGCCTCCATACTAGACACACAGGCACTGAATGTTGAAATTAAAGGTAACCATGACAAGAATGTCATTCCAGATGAGGTACTGCAAACTCTGTTAGATCATTATTCACACAAGGCTAATGGACAACACGAGATATCTTTCAGTGTGGCTGATACCGAGGTGACTTCCAGTATATCAATCAATTCTTCTGAAGTGTCTGAGGTCACCCAGTCTGAGACAGTTGGAACAAGCTCTCAAGCTTCCTCGTCAGATAAAGCTAGTATGTTACAAGAATATTCAAAGTTTTTACAACAAGCTTTGGACAGAACTAGCCAAAATGATGCCTATTTGAACAACCCGAGCCTTAATTTTGTGACTGATAACCAGACTCTTACAACCCAGCCAGCATTTCCTTCCATGGAGAAGGTCTACACGTCTATACCTGTCAATAGCTTTCGATCGGGAATGAACTCTCCATTAAGAACAACTCCAGACAAGTCTCATTTTGGACTAATAGTTGGTGATTCGCAGCACACTTTTCCCTTTTCAGGTGATGAGGCAAATCATTCTTCTTCCTCCTCTACACAGGACTTCTTGGATCAAGTAACTTCTCAGAAGAAAGCGGAGGCACAGCCTGTTCATCAAGCATATCAAATTAGCTCCTTTGAGCAGCCCTTTAGAGCTCAGTACCATGGGGCAAGAGCTGGAATATCATCTCAGTTTAGCACTGCCAATGGACAGGTGAACCTTCGGGGACCAGGGACAAGTGCTGATTTCCCAGAATTTCCCTTGGTGAATGTAAATGATAGCAGAGCTGGGATGACTTCTTCACCTGATGCCACAACGGGCCAGACTTTTGGCTGAGAAATCTTTGTAAATAATACTGGCACTTTAGAACACATTTGTCGAAAGGGGGTTGCTCTGTATAAGATGGGAGTTCTGTACAGCTTTCAAGAGCGCTATGTTAACAAAAGTAAGCTGATATTAGCAAGACCAATAACTGCTTCTCAGTTGGTTTTTTTTGTTTGTTTGTTTGTTTTGGGTTTTTTTTGGTTACTCACCAGTCATTGAACTGCGTGATGTTGGTGCCCCTATCAAAGGCAGTTTATTATTCACTTGTTTGAATCCAGAAAATATTTTACCTTCTATGAAATTTAAAATAAACAAAATCCCCGGGTAAGAATTCCCCCCATGATTGTTTCTTTACTGGTTTCCTTGTATGCTTTGGGAGGACAGTTTATTGTCTGATACTATTCATATTGTCATTTCTAAGCTTGTCAGCATAGTCATTGCTCTTCAGCAGGGAATCAACGTGCGCTAAACACACAGAATAAACAGTAAGTTTCAAAGTCAAGCAAATATGGCTTTAAAAGATGGCATTTTCTAGTAAAATAATAATTCTTCCATCTCTCAAAAGTAATTTTAGACCATGTGCCCTTTATTTCTGCTTTGCATTCCCTTCAGTTGTGTTTGGAGGAAAAAATGTATTCTGATAGACTAACTCTACTATTTAAAAGTCTAATTAATTTAAAATACTTTAAACACTTTTTTAAGCAAAATGCCTAACTGCTAAAGCCTTTACTTCATTCCTGAAGTAACGTGTATTTCTTTGTACAGCTGAATCTAGATGTAACTTTTTAATGACTTTTTCATACACAGATATTAAGATTTTGAAGTTTTAGTTAAAATACTCTGTAGATGACATTCCCAATTGCATAATGCTTACACAAACTGTGTATTCCAAGATTTAAAAGCTTAATTGTACCTTACCCTACATACTCATAATGATTAACATAGAGCACTTAGTCAACTCGATAGGTTTTGATTTCTCAAAAAAGAAAACCATTTTTAGAATTTTTGGTTTGATATGGTTGCATCATTTTCACCTCATACAGCTCCAGAAATTCTTTTCAATATAGTTGAGACTGGGTATTCTTAGCCTCTGTAAAAACTGTTTTAATTCTCTGTCTAGAATTTTGACAATTCAGATCATTAAATTTATTGAAGTATCCCTGAAAGGTGAAGAAGTGGGCATTCAAATTCCCTATCTTTTTAGTGTTTGCTTAGTGAAAGTCATTACAATTTTACCAACCAAAACTGCTGAATAATGCTAGCAAACAGGATTTCTTTTTCCAGCATAGGCGAGTGATCAAAGTTTTCGTTGCATTTCACAGTATAAATAAACTACAGTTTATCCCTGTACCATGAATATGTTTTTTTGAATAGTACTTTGTCTTGAAGTATACAGTATGGTACGATAAGTAGTTCTGTGTGCATTTTTAAGGTGGTAAGATTTGAGTAGCATAACTATTGTGTAGTTTAAGTTAACAAGTTACAGATTTTTGAACTGTATGTTCATTCTATTGCACCTTCCCTAAAGGGACACTGTCTGGTAGTTTAAGGCAGTTTAAGCCTAATGTAGGCTGATTAACCAGGGAAAAACACACACACACACACACACACACACACACACACGTGTATATACATAGGTATGTCTGTATGTGGTGGCGTTTTTTTAAATAGTATTGCATACATCTTTTTGCAGCACTATTACTAGCTGGTGTCTCTCAGATGAAGCCAACAGCTAGGAGAATGCACCTCAAGGGACTAAAACATATCCTGTCTTTTAACATTAGGACTCGGGCAGGACATACAATAGTTCCCACCCCTTCCCAAAGCACTAGCAATATTTTTCTTAATTTTCATTAATAGGAAACTGATTCCACTCTGTCTTTTTTCCCCTATGGAAGCACTATTACAGCACTAACTTCACTCGCTACAGTTGAGGGAGAAAGTGCATTTGTTATCCATAGCTTGCTTCTTATATTGACAAATATAAGAAATACAATTTATGTAGACTTCTTACTTAATACTTTTGTATAAGGAAACAGGTTCTGTTTTAATTCATTGACCCTGTGTATAATATAGGGAGGTGCTTCAGTGTGCTATGATTTACCAGTAATTTTGTCTGAATATTTGGCCCCGAATTAAGAAGAATGAGCATCAAGGGAGAACAGTAAACTCCTTCTGGATTATTAGTGATACATGTAAAGAAATTTCCCTGAAAGAACGTTTTAAAAATGGTTCGTGTCTTTCTGGTTTAATTCCTTTAAGGTCAGTTTGTTTTTTTGACTTTCCATTCTGTGTTGCACAGACTCAACACATATGGCCCCTGTATCCCAGGAAGCCCCCTCTTGTAATGCATGTTTCATTTTCAGTGTTTCATTTCCATGACATCCTAGATTGTGCTGCCTGAATAATACTGTGTTGGCATCTTTGTTCTGATGTCCTCTTGTTGCGAGTAGATGGCCATTACTAGTACTATTCGTTCAATACAACATGCGGCAAAAGCAAAAATGAATTAAAATAGAAAGGCTGCACTTCTCTGGCCCCATAGGGAGGTAAGAGGAATTAAGCCTCCTTCTCCCAAAGGAGATTGACTCAGCTTTATTTTAAAAAGTTACTGCCTTCATACTCTGCTGTGAGAAAGTGACTGAGGGGTAGGAGGGAGTAGCTCTCGCTCCATGCAGTCTTCACACTTTGGAATTGCCGCTGAGGGAACAAGCTATTGTACGGAGCGAAGGAACTTGCTCTTCCCTGGAGCCAAGTGGGAATCACCTGAGGAACCGTTACTCCTTATGTCACAGCTCACTCCCTAGCCTGCTGCTGAGCCACTACAGCTATACTCTGTGCCTTAGGACAGGTTGTGAAGTCCCTGTCTAGCCCACAGGGACTGTCTCATAGGGTTCTTCCACGTGTACAGCAGTTGATCCACTGATGCTCGAAGCTTTCTGTATTGGAGGAGTTAACCAAAAATACTGCTATGGTTTCCTGAGTACATGGCCTTTTATTCTGGAATGTCTATGTAGTTCTGGGAGGTTTAACGATGTAAAAAGCTATTGCTTGTTTAATAATTACATTATTTAATAACATTTTCCACTGCTCATGTTTTGCTGCTTTTAATCTGCTACAGAGGCACACTCTTCATTTTGATCTGCTCACTCTCCATGTTTGTTAGTTTTCTCTGTGTGTCTGGGGAGAAGTGACTTCGGCTTTCTGTTCTGTTCTTGTACTGATGTTGTTCAGTCAGCCAGTGTGAGGCTGGGGTCAGCATTTCTATTCCACAGAGCTAACAACAGACGTTGTTACTTAAAGGTCATGCAAGCACTGAATGTGTGTGTCTGTGTGTGTGTGTGTAAGGTGGAATTTTTTGGGGATATCTCCTAGTGGTAGAGCAATGATGACTTTAAAAAAAAGGAAATTGATGACATTTATTACCAAACTATATGTATACAGTATGTGTGTGTATATGTATATACACACACATATTAATAGGCCGTATTTTGGTCCTAAATTACTTGACAGTGTCCCTTTTAGCATGAATCCTTTGATATGTTTTACCATTAATATTACAGACAATGAAGGAATCAGCTTGTAATGGTATACTAATAGGCACTTACATTTTCTTCATTTGATTTGAGAATGAATTAATCATAAATTACAAGGTTTGGGGAGAAGGATTAACCATGTGTATTACTGTACGGTGGTTTACAAGTAACAACATAAACAATTTAAATTGGATGATAAAAGGACTATGTTTATGATCTTGTGTCTCCTAGTGTTGTCTTTAGGAAAGTTGTGTTTCAGGAAGGAAATAGGACAAGAAAGTATTCATGTGGAATAACACTTGTATTATTTTTATATTGTACTTGTCAATTTTTTGGATGACGGGAGCTTTTCATTGTTAATTGAGAAGTACAGTAAAATCTTGCTAATTCGCTGACCGCTAATCAGAGCATCCGGTAGGTTTATACATCCCTGATGGTCTCTCTCCCACCTCTCTGCAATGGTCTAAAAAGTACTGTAGCGAGGTCTCATTAGTAATGCTGTACTACTTCACCCGAGTATACTGCAGAATCTATATGAGTATACTGGGAGGTACAAGACATATTGAAAACTAAATTACAATTGTCAAAATAAATGAACAAAGTACATTTTGTGATGTGACCTCCTTGCTTTTATTGCCTGCTTCTTCACTATTTTCAAAATTGTCATTTGTAAAGGGTTTCTAAGGCATTGCTGCGAATTATTGGGGTTCTACTGTAACTTTCAGAGTTTATTCTAAAGTATTCATGTTCTCTTATGAAAACTTTCCGCTTGGACAGATACGTTATATTCCATGCTTGTTCAGAATATTTTTATAGTATTTGTATCATATGTAGTAACTATTTGAAATGAACCAGAATATTTGGATGAATCCACTCTGAATTTTGCAGCATTGGATTACTTCATTGTATGTATATTTGCTAACTAAATTTTCTTGGCTTTGAGAGCTTTTGATTTTTATTCTTCTTCCTTTGCTTGTTTTAATACCATTACGAATTGCAGGGAAAATCCTAATACTCCTGGGAATCCATTTGGAAATTTTAACAGGCAGAAATATGCTTATGCAGTCGGTACCAGTACACATGTGAACTTTCAGATTACATGGTTGGTACTGAAGCAAATGAGTAATGTTACAGTTTCCTAGTGGTAAATGTTTTACTAAAATGAAGCCTTGTAACTTTGAAAGTTCATTCAACTTACGGTAATGCATGTTTATGTTAGGCATGTAATGCATTTAGCTGAAACTCACTTTGAAAAGGACGAGTACTAAGAAAGTATTACTGCTAATGAAAAGAGTCGCCTTTAAGTTAAAATTTAAACTTCGGTTCGGTTTCTAAATTGCTTTGTGTCAGGGAAATAAATTTATAGTCGCTTTTGCTCTACTCGGCATATAAAACCTTACGTTTCCTTTTTAAAATTACATCTCTTGGTAGGAAACACAAACTGAGGCAAGCAAACATTTCTAAGAGTTGTTTCTTGCTTTCCTTAATCCAATGGATGGAAAGGTAATATTGTGTAAACAACATTATTTTATTTTTTTATGCAATATCATGCTGTAAATATGATTTATCAAATAAGGATGTACCTATGATTGAATCTTTGATTCTACACAGCTAGAGTTTATATATAAATATAAATGTGTCTTGACAATCAAGGACTTATGTCAGTCTTCCTTTATGATGTTTCTTATTGTTATGCATTCCATTTGTTTGACTTGAGTATTTGTATTGTCTGTAAAGTATGTAATGTTTTTATAGCTTGTTTAAAAAACAAACAGAACAGCCTGTAAATACCTATGAACTGATCACAGTACCGCTCTGTTAGAAGGCATACGATGATGTACTGTTTGTAAGCAATAATACATGACAGTGCTAACTTGACAAGTAGCATAAGGATAAGTTCCAAAAATACCTTTGGGAGTTAATAGCCTTGTTTGAGTTAATGAATATTCTTAACCATTTTTTTTATAAATAAACTCAAATGTCCTCCTGCTGGAGTATATAACATTGTTTACACAGCACAATTTCAGTCACAGAGGGGACAGTCTTTAGACCTATGGCTTCATCCGTAGACACTTTGAGTAAGAAATGAGAACGGCTTGGCTGCACTTCTGCAAGATGAGGAAGACTGCAAAAGTTGAATAGCTGTGTCTCTAAAGGATGAGAGATACTATTCTGCTTCTGTGCTGATTCCTGACAATTTCTCTACTTAAATTTGGAGTCTTTAAGTCCTGATATTGAACTGATGAGACTTGGGCCTCCACTAGAAAGGAGTAGTTCTCTTCTTATTTCATATGCAGATAAACAGTGAACTTGCAAGTCACCTCTTCATTTGAGTTGCGTGTTTTTCAAATTATGAGCTATGAGATGATGAGATGGGTTTATCCGATAAATAAATTAAACGTCAAACTTATAGTTTGAATTGAATAGGTATTAGACTGTACA